TTTTTTTACCATCCTCTGTGTCTATTGTTACCCATATCAGTGCATTTTAATGGCTGTCTCCTAGCTCTCAAGATGTTTAATACATTTCCCCTTCCATTGTATTGCAGCTAAAATATGACCTGCCGCTGTTTAAATAATGTAATTTAATGATTTCACATTTTCAGCTGTGCAAGGCTTCCTTTCAGCACTGAAACCTTTCACTAATGATTTGGGGAGATAGTTTGTTCTCATTTCTTTCAGAACTCAAGATTGAGAAACACCGAGTTGGAAATAAATTATTGACATCCACTTTAGGAACACTACAATGTGTAGTGGAAATAAAATACACAAAGTTTCAGGGCCACGAGCCTAGAATCTCCAACTTGTTGGTTTCTTTCAACATTCAACTGTCATTCAAGCTCTGTTATCAGTGGAGATATCTAAACCACTGTTGTGCCACTGCTACGTGATGTAGCGTATTTGGGCCAACCATCTGCAGAGAGACTCCCGAATTATTATCCACGGTGTGCGAGTGGCCAGCAGTGAGTTGGAAGGCAGCACTGAGCTTGTTTCTTCTCATTTCAAATGTGTATACTATACCACAGGGATAGCTAAAATACATTAACATTTTAGCTAAAACTGCTTGGGCTGTCATGGAATAGTGAACGAAATGAGAGGGCAGCCTTAGCAACTCCTCAGCACTGGAATAACTTCCCATTTCTCAGGAATTTCAACATGAAATCAACAGGGCTGAAAGTATATATTAAGAAAACAAGACAGAACAAACTCATACCACACCACACCCCCACACCACACCCCCAAAAGGTACCTTTCTCTTCAGATATAGAGAAATATTACACTGAGTCCTAAAAATCTGATGGGCTTAAAGAGAGAATGTCTTTTCATGAGTATCAGCTCCCAGGCATTACTGAATACTCTGAGATTAGTCCTTGGAGAGAACCTTGGGAAGGATAATTAAAACAAAAAACCAAACCAAAACAAAAAAAGACACAACCCCCCCCCCAAACCAAAACCTCAGTCCCCCCAAAATCTAGTGAAATGTGACCTGACAAAGGAGATGCAGAAACTGAAACTGTTCAGCCCAGACAAAAGTTCCTGAAGACAGAAAGTTGAATATTGATGAACAACAGTTTGGACGATAAAGGGAAAGCTGGCAGAGTATGTTCTGCATGAAGTCAGTAAGGACAGGCCAAGAAGCCATGGACTAAAAGCAACAGACAGGTAACACATTGTCTTGTAGGGTACCCGCCTCACTTCTCACAACCTCACCATTGCTAATGTGACACCTCCCAGATTCTTTACTGGATATGAAAGCACGACTGTGTTCCAGCTGTAGTTCCAAGAACGAGCAAGGGGAAAACAGACGTATAAATTTCTTGGGACAACAGCTTCCTCGGATGGTTTTTAAACTCTTATCTTCAGTGCTTTTAGTGGAGTACAGTAAAAAGTTATGGTTGTTGGTTTTATTGTTTTCTTCAAAGAACTGTTGGTGGAAAGCCAAAATTCCATAAGTGAATTTGTGTTATGTTCAGGGATTTCTGTTTACTCTAAGGCAGATGGCTCTATTCTGGCACCAACCCTCTGGCATCTCAGTATTCTTTGCATATTCCTTGTGCATATAAAATTTGCTTAATAGGGACAAGACAAAACATATTTTTGCGTAAGTTTAGCAGAAAGGATTTACACATTCATCTTCCTGCCTTCTGTTCATACATATTTGACTTATTTGCTCAGGGAATGGATATGGTATAGCAGAGTGTATGACAAATGACACAGTATAATGAACAGCAAAATAATCAAGTACATATCAAGAAAAGTAGTTTTGAAATAAGCTTACTGTTTAAACCTCTTTTTACTTACAGCAACAAAATTCCTATTGACTTAGTGGTGGATCAGGACAATATAGCAACTGAACAATATAACACAAATACATTTGGGAACAAAATTCCTATTGACTTAGTGATCAGGACAGGATCAGGACAATATAGCAACTGAACAATATAACACAAATACATTTGGGGAAAAAAAAATCTTATTTATAGGTAACTGACAACTGAAGATGGGTAATTCCACTGAATAAGTTATATACTGTGTGAGTAATTTCCATATCATAATCACTCCATTTTACCAATGTCTTGAATTATTAAAGAAACTCTTGTTTTCTCATTTTAAACACTTAACATTTCTTCTCTATGATTCCTATCACTGAATGCTCTTTTCTCTTTCCACAAGCAAGGGGTTTCATTGTTTTATCCAGTCACCCTGAGGTCTCTTACTTACCACCCTGAACCAGACCCGAAATTGCCAGAGAAGAAAATCAGTTAAACATATACGTGGATCAACCAAAATTTAGTGGGATTACTCCCTTGATCAGCATGCAGTATGAATTCAAGTACTGTGTTAGATCAGAACTTTTCTGAATTCATACATTATTCAAAAAGTCTTCAGGGTCTTTTGAGTTACCTAGCTGGGGTAGTCCCTGATGAAGAGGTTTAGAAGTTTACTGATGAGAGAAGAAAAGGAAGACAGGAAAAGTCCTAGCTCACAGAGTCTGTGAATGTCTATGCTTGACTGCACTGGAAATTAAGGGACAGCAGACGTGACAACAACAGGAGTAATGAGACAGGTTAGAAAGCAGCATGAAAATATGTCCCCCAGTCATCTAGGTTGACCATGCCACAGTGAGGTTTAAGAGAGATGGAAGTTGAATATGGTCTGATTTCACCCAGAGCATGAATTACCAAAACTCTGTTGAAGCACAGGCTTCTACAAGTATACCTATGAAAGTGTCTATAACTGTCTATAAAACAGAACACACATTCTATGATTATCTTTCAAATAACCACAAAAAACAGGGGTCAGTCAGCCAGGTTCAGTGGAACTGATGACATCACACAACTAAAGATGTTCTCTAGAAACACAGCACTCCCACCTGACTCCTCCCTTCATTCACACATGCACTGGGCTATAAACAACAGGAGCTTACAACTGGGATTGAGGGCTCTTGGGAGCTATCTGGAGCAACTATATGGCAGGGTCGATTGTCTCCATAGTCAGGGAATTGGACCCAGCTAGGCCCTGTTTGAACCCATGCTTCTATCTACCAGTAGAGAGGAAAACTTTTCATCTGGTAAGGTCACTGCCCGCAAAACTTAGCTGGCAGCAGAGTTACATCTTTTAGCTAGCAATTAGACACCCATGGCTAAACTAAAGAGCAAAGGTTACTTGACTGAATCCCTTCCCTCCAGCTTTGCAACACGGGGTGAATAAATGACGTAAGAACTGCACGAGCTTATGTTTATTTATAATACTACATACCCAGCAACTATAACCTGGAGCACTCCAGAGTGGAAGGATACATTTTTATAATGCCTGTTTCTTCATTAAGATTTCATCGTCCACCTACACTAAAAAGCCACTTCCTCTTCACTTTGTTCTATCTGCTTTTACCCGCTCCTGTTCCTGCATTATTTTTTTAATCTCCAGTTCCCTACTTTACATGCACTCTCAAATTTTAAACAAGCAAAATTTGTGCATTAGTGTGTCCTTTTCATCTATGATTTATGAATGACAGGTTCTTCAGTGCAGCTTAATGGTATGAGAGAGACATTATTTTAAACATTAAAGTGAAAACCATTTACAACTATGATGAGAGGTCTGTTGACATTAAACTTTAAAACATGCACAAGGTAAAGGCAAGTAGCTGCTCCAACAGGTGAGAGTACTATGCATGCGGTTTGTAAGGGAGTTTGTTAGACACACCAGCTGTCTCTTCCTTATCTCTGTTTGACAACCTGTAGGATTTGGTGCTTCAAACAATCCGTCTGGTAATCAGCGGCCACCAGTTTAATAACTAACAAGTACTTAAGGTGCAGTGCAGAGCATTCATTTAAAAAATTTCCATTCTGTCCAAGGAAAACTTTTACTACTTTCTACATTGGCAAGAAATAAATAAAAAGATAAATAAATAAATTGAAAGAGCTAAAGGTTTATTTTGATACTTTCTGCCCACCCCTTTACCGCTTTCAGACTGGACAGTCACTTCCTTGCCATCCCCTTCCATTAATGCTGCACAATTCTATTGTAAGATTTTGGTAATACTTATCTCGCTGTACTTGTTTTTGTTCTGTGCCGCAGCAACTGCTCCCTCAGAAGCAATCAACATTATTAGGCTTAGAGGATAAATACATCTGGATTTCACATCATATGTGTTTGGATTGAGTGCTGTTTCTACCTGCGTTAGATGCACTCATCGAGCAGCAGAGAGTACTAGGAAAGAACAGGGATGTAGTATTTCATAGAATTGCTTTTCAGTCTGATTTTAGACCACAGGGAGAATGCAGCAGATATCTTAGGGCAGAATTGTTGCCAACATAGTACAGCTCAGGTGATGGGCAGGATAGGTACAGAGATGCACATTTTGCATGTGACTCTGGAATCATGCAACTCCCTCAACAGCTTGGATGAGGAATGACAGAACCTTATCGACAAGGCAGACCTCCCACAGCAAGAATGAGAACACATACCCAAGGCACTGATGGCAGTGAACATGGAAAACTCTGATTTTATAATAAAAGGATTTTTAAAACTGATTTTGATGTAATACTGTGGTTTTAGTTGCCCCTCTTCATTTAGCTACCCTAAACAGCAGTGAAACTGAATGTTTGTCTTCATGCTGTCATTTGAAATTTTTAAGTGAATGGTGAGTAGGGAACATTGATCACTGATGACAGAAAGGCCTAATGAATCATTCAAGTACTTTACATTACTGACCCATTACTGACCCATAGAGTCTAAGACCCAACCTCCAATCTGTTTTTATAAAAATGCAAATATCCTGAAGTATTTCTCAAGTATTCAGTAGACAACCCAAGTATTACCTTTCAATATGCATCAAGAACAACATTTCATTGGAAAAAGAGATCACTTGGTTTAAAAAAGAGATAAAGTGAAACAAACAGGCAAAAGAATCTATTAGAAAAAAGCTAAAAATGGCTTACCTTGTAGATTTTGTAATGGCAAAGTCATAATGCCTCCTGCTGCAGCTGCTGCTACCAGCCCTTGGATGTTGGTGAGATTCGCTGTAGGTAGAGTCAGCACAAGTCCTTGTTGGCCCCCCAGCTGCCCAGCCATGTTGAAAGGAATAAGGATCGGCTGATTCAGGGCTGGAGTGCCTCCTGGCATCACCCCCGCTACTGCTGAGGCTAACTGTTGGGCTGTCAGTAATGGCTGTAGCAAAACACAGACAACAAACCTATTTTACTGCACGCTGCTTGGCATTATGCACTTACAACTCTCCTGGCCTGGGATCCTTTCATATTCCATTGTAGGTGTGCACTGCTTCCAATATCTTAAAGCATACACGTTGACTACACAGAAAGTTTTGACGAACTCGGCAGGCTGAAGCTGTAAACCTTACAGTCATGTAACATGGCAGCAATCCCAGTTGAATCTAGACTGGAAAATTCATTACACGTGCACCAAAGGTAACGTATGAACACAAGAAAACCTAACTCAAGTCAGCCGACAGGTACCTAAATGCCAACATTTCCCAAATTTTTGCAGTAGTATATGGACTGGTAAAAGCAGAAAACACTACAGTAACAATTACCAGAAGCTATGTGGACCAAGACTGCCCTGGAAAGTGGTAGAACACTGAGTATCTTCTTAGAGTGTGGCTGAACTTGGATAAAACTGTGGAGTGATATGGGAAATCTTTTAAAATGTTATACAGTGCCATGCTATTATGCCTACATTTTGCTCTAAAGAAAATAAATGCCTGGCATAAAAGATAATTAAATGCCTTTACTAATGCAGGAGCTGTGTGTGACTGACAGAACTGTCAGAGCCAATAAGGCTGCATTTAAACTGTACAAGCTTTTTAATATTGAATTATTACATGTATTTAAAAAATAACTTATATAAGAAAATCAAATAATTTAACCTCCTAAATATGCAAAATTACTACATTTTAGAAAAAAATACAAAAAGCTAATCTCTCCAAACAAATAACTTTTAAGACATAGACGTGATAAATACATGCGCCCTTTTTGTAACACTAAATGCAGCCAAAAGGAATCATATTTTCTACGTTACACAGATCAAAGATGAACAATTGCAGTTATTTACTTTTCATCAAATTGCACATCTCGATTAGCTGAAAAGAAAGATACTGACCTGAGGCCCAACAGGGAACGCAGGGTGGGACTGACTGGCTTGGTGCTGGTCTGCTGGGCTCGTGTCAGGCAGCACCGTGTTTCCTCTGGACTCTGAAATCCAAAGAGCAGATTGACTTTAATATCAAGCCTGGGGACTGGCACATTACTTTCTACTCTGATGTCACATAACATCAAGCTGAAAATGATATGTTAAAGTGCTTTATCAATAACTCAAGCACTCAAATCACTTATCAGCTGCATAAATTATGCTAACATTCATTCAGACCAGCCAGCTCATTCAAGGAGCTACAGAAATCTGACAGCAATGAAACCGAAGCTATCATCAAGCCAGCTAATGTGGGTTGCATTATACATCAATCTACATACAGTACATGAGCACTCCACGTGTGTGGAACTGCATTTTTTACGCTTAGGTGAGCAACAGCCATTCTAATTTCTGAAAGCAAAAATTATCTGAAAAACAATCAAGTCGCATCTACTTTGTATCTTAATAAAATCCTTTTCTTTTGTCAGTTCCTGAGGCAGCCAAGGCTGTGTTACAGGCAATAAAAAGGCACAGGGAAAACGGAAAACAGGTATACTTCCAAATGACAGCTATTCCCCTTGTTTACTAAATTGTATGCGGGGAGCGAGTAAAATTCGTTGAAACCAAGGATTTCCAGCATTTATTGAGATGATCAATATCCAACAATCGAACTATATGCTGGGTGTTAATGACTTGCTAAGCACAGAACACAGCCCAGCCCTACTGGATTTTGCTGAAGTCTGCAAAACAGATTTGAAAAGGAAAAAGAGAAAGAATAACGTCCTATCAGTGGTGAGAAAGTACCGAGATATTTTCAAAACTCTGTCCCAATCCTCCATTTCCTCCCGGTGAAGGACTCCCATTGATTCAGCGCTGATGGCACGATCTGGCCCACATTTATCTTTGAAGCTGAAGGAATGACAGCAAGTACCAAAAGTAGCTGCAAGTGCACTGGTATCTCTCAAAAAGGACCTGGCAGTGGCCTCAGGTTTCTGGGTCGGTACGATAGCTCCTGTTCTGTTAGTTTTTTTCTGATGCACAGTTGAAATCCCATTCTAAGTGAACCTTAACGGGATGCTCTTTTCCAACGTTTGTCCTGCGAATAGGCAGTGCCAGACAATTGCGAACCAGTTTATTGGCACACCCTGACGCACTAAGGAAAAAGGATACAGTCCTGTCATACTTATAAATTTTAAAGAGGGTATTATCAGCTCATTTAAAACAAATTCTTCTGTATATTCTCCAAGGGAACAGACTTATAAATAATGGAAATGTGGGGAAAAAAGAATACTTCAGCGCATTAAGGTACAAATAAAATTGACTGCTCCGTATTATTCAATTGACTTCCATCTCTACAGCAAGGTGTCAGTCACAACAGTGTTTTAGAATAGGATTAAACGATAAATGTGCAGAGTTATTATGCAGAAATCTGAAAATCTGATTAATTTCTAATATTTTGGTGTGGTCTCAGAAAGTCAGAAATGGACATTGCTTTGGGAATACTTAGAAACATTCTATTGAAATATCTGATTTGGAACCAATAAAAACATACAGACTTGCTGACATTTTATAAAGAATTCTATGAAAATATGCTTGGCATTATAATGACCACTGTCATTTAATAATGAGAATAAGGTGATCTACTATAATCACCGAGGACCTTCACAATTGCCTAATAACATGCAAAAAGAGATAGGGTCACTAAATTTTTCATGTGCAATTTACTCATCGGAGTTCCCTGAAAAAAAAGAAATGTAAGTAGATACGCAAGATGCGGTGAAAACTGTTTCTTTCAAATGTATTACAACCCTAGTGCCGCTGCCATCCCTTAACCAAAGACGGGTTTTCTTCAGTATGGGTTCCTCCTCCACAAAATAAAGTGCTGTTACTAAACAGAGTTTCGCGTTTGGTAATTCCACATATTGTTATGGTGTTCTTTTAATCTTCTCATCACAGCTGTATGCATAAAGTGATACTAGATCAAAGGCTCAATACCAATGAATGTATCACTCTCCATTAAGATCAAACCTTAGAGATCAATTTTATTTATGTAACTTTAAGGGCTGAGAATTTTGTTTTTGTGTGTGATTTAATTAATATTAAAACAAGCTCCTGATAATATGTCACATCATTAAGTTGTCCTATGAAAGCACTGGGAAAAGAGCAAAAGTGGAGTCAAAAATTCACTAGAATTAGATTTTATAGAAATTACTATAGCTTGAGCTCTCAGAAAATAAATAAGAAGTTCTGAAAAAATATGCCTGTGCTTTAGCATTTTCTTCCATGGTGCAGCTATCCTAAGAACCCTTGTTTTCTGTTATCTGTGCCCTAAGGATTTTGCAGTATTTCCTCTCACAAGCTGTATGTCGTACAAGCGGGTTATACAGGACCATAAAGCCAAAACTCATTGCATTCCTTTCCTTTTGCACTGCACTAATTGGAATTACTCCGGATTATGAACCTTTCAGTTGGTCACTCATGTCAGATGATGGATCTTTTTATTTCAGTGCTTGAACGTTCTGCCTGCTGCTTCTAGCTCACTTTCCACATGATGCAGGCATCTCAGCAAAACAGCAAACGCTTCCAGGTGCACGAATCTGGTATTACGTGGCACCCTGTATGAAATCACGCATGCCATATTCGCAGATGGAAATTCCCACATTTCCCCTTTCTCATACATCCACTGTAACCGCCACTGGGGACTCAGGATTTTTGTCAAAACGTGCAGGAAGACCTGCCTGCTGGGCTGGCCGTAAATACAGCGAGGCGAGGATTTCAGGGTTAAGCTCTGTTGCATCACACTCGGTGACAGCACTTGTTCCTTGCTGTACACCACCTTCAGCGAGACACACAGGTCAAAGCTCCCAGGAAGGCAAAGCACGGTGCAGAACACTGGTAGAAGGCTACTTTTGATTTTCTGCCTTACAGTGTTGACCAGGTGATCCCCCTGAGTTCGGCAGATCTGAGGAGTCTGGAGAGTTCTGGGTCACAGTTACTATTTCTGATTCACAGACTCACTGCAAGTAATTTGGAAAAATACCTTCATGAAGACCATTTCCCTAAACTGGCAGTGCAGGATCCCCTGCATTGCTTTTCCCCTCAGTTTCACCACCTTTACTTGGGAGCATATTAGTTCCAGAGGCTGGAATGACCTCTGCAGGTAAATGATCCCCCTGTCCAAATTCCAGTCCTCACTAATAAAAAAGACCTGTCAAAATCTAGCCTAGATTTTCCATGTGTCCAGATTCAGGCCATTACCTCCTGTAAGCCTATCCCCCAGCGCTGCTCAGCTTTCTATCAGCACGGGGCATGGGAGCAAGGATCCAGGACTCATAGCAGTGACTATGGAGCTGGGGAGCTACCAGCAGCACCATCTCTGTTCTCAACTACACTTTGGAGAGATTATATTCCCATCACACCTCCAATTGCTGGTGTGCATAGGGCAGGGAGAAGGCAGTAACAGGTCACCTACTCTGGGAAGAGAAGGAATTCTCCTTAACGCTGTTTGCCTAGGCAGGGAGCTAAGACTTCTTTTACAACTGAGCATTGTCATCACACCCCGAGTCAAGGAGTTTGCTCAGTAGTACCGTAGGAAGACAGGAGCAGTACTGCCATGGTATGGCCGTGACTGTAGACAAGGCTTTAATATTTAATAAGCAGTATTCATAATATGTGATTCATCATAAATTAATTATAAATTATATAATACATACACTCACCTCTCATCCCACCAAGGGGCTGGGAGGGCACGACACAATAAAAAATTGAAGTGCACTGTAAACATTGTAAAATAACTCTCCTAAAATAAAGTATTATTTAAAATGAAGCTAAGTAAAACAAAAGCAACCTTATTTTCCCCTTATCAAAAAGAAAAAAAGGAAAAAAATCCTCAAATCAAAGCAAAAAAACCTTGTTGAAATATACCTGGTTTGAAAATGGAAAAACCACGAGAGAAACATCAAAAAATTCCATTGCACCTTCTGATACATCTGCAGGTGTGTGCCTGCGCCACAGCCGTGACACACACTGGGGTCTCCTCAAATGCTGCAGCAGCGCCTGCTCAGAGCCAATGCTCAAGCCCAAGAACTAGCCCCAGCAGATGATCTGGGCATAAATAACTTCCCCTTGGCCTTCAAGAATGAACTCAATGTGTCTCACATTTGTATCAGAACCAGGGGGATGCTGGGCCACCTCTCTTTAGCACTCAATGCTTTGAAAAACAAGAAGGATCACATTTAATAATACTAGATTTTCAGTAATCAAAAGAATGCATAAATCCTTCTGAGATACCCATTAAAGCAAATATTTTAAATGAATCAAATTAATAAAAGAACACAGCATTTCAAGCAACAGTTCATATTAAAATCCTGAGATACAGTTCCACAATATGACATTAAATTACTTGTATTTATCTCTCAGTAACTGTAACAAAAAGAAATCAAGAGCAGACTTTTTCTTACTCATTGAGCCAACTCATATTAAAAATACAACTTCAAGAATGAAATCATTAAATTGAAAATACTGCCTGTGAGAAAAAATCGTCTTACATTTTTAAAACTAATAAACTCACAGTCTGAACATGTAATATAGCTGCATTTAGATCATAAGCCATATTATGAGGAGAAAAAAAACCTTTTTAAAAGAGATTAAATAGACTGATAATATTCAAATTATCGAGTATGGTATGTGAAAGTCCATCATCTCTGATTAAAGTAACTCAGCTTTTCATTAAATGAACCCTTAATTGTCAGCAATTATACCAGGAGCAATCTTGATGAACAAAATTTAATAGCTGAAAGAAAAAGATACAGCTGATAATGAGAAAAATGTAACATTCCCTCCAAACAATCTTCATTCTGCCACAAAGTACCATATTGTGGCTCTTAACTTCACTATTTTCATTTTCCTGCTGCCTCAGAAGTTGGACATGTAGGTAGGAAGCCTTTCCAAATCACCTCATTGTAAAACCTTACTAATCAGACTGCTACACAGAATTTCACCAACACATCTAAATTTTACAGTAGTTGTAGGAGAGAAAATTGCAATTTTATGCTGAATCTGTTTT